GAGGAGGAGGACGACGACGAGGAGGACGAGGAGGAGGAGGAGGAGGAGGAGGAGGAGGAGGGGGAGGAAGCCGATGGGGAGGCGGAAGGGAGGTTCTGTGGGCGGGGCGCGCTCTCGCTCTGGGGGCGGCCCACATCACGGATCTGTCCGACCCCAGCTCGATTCGGGTCCGGCTCGGGTTCGGTTCGGGTTCGATTTGGGTTCGCTTCGGGTTCGGCTCGAGCTCGACTCCAGTCGACGGACGTTCGACGGATGCTAATGTTGCCGTTTCCTTGTTCGTTGTTCTGCCGATCGGCGCCGGCCCTCGTACCTCCCCCCTCCCTCCCCCACACGGAGTAGGTCTTGGCTGTTTTTGGCGCCTGTCTCGAGCAGGTGGAGTCTCTCCCTCATCGGACGCGCTGCTGCTGCAAGCAGTGGCATCAAGCAGAGGTCTGGACCAGACCCCCCCTCCCTCCCCCCTTCCGCTCAATGTCGAAACGCCGAAGAAGAAAACGTTCACATACTAGTACTACCTGTGCTTCGCCCCCCAGGGGCGACGCGCGCGCCGAGAAATCTTATCGGGCGACGCGCGCGCCGAGAAGTCTGATTAATGAGCTCCGTGGCGAGCACGTTTTCCATACCGCTCGGGGAACTATCTACTGCAAGATGGGCATACTGCATCTTCGGGTCGGGCGCACGCCTTCAAGGGGGACACATATATATATATACACACATATATATGTATATACATATATATATATATACATATATATATATATATATATAGTACTAGGATGCCCACGTGGGTCTCAGAAAAAGCGGGACCCACCAAAAGAAGGGGACCCCCGAAAGGATGGGGGCCGAGGCAAACAGGTCGGCGGCGACGTCCGGGCCCTGGCCCCGCCGCTCCGCGATTCGGGCCGCCCGGTGGGCAGCGGGGGCAGGGTCCAGAATTGGTGGGACACGTGGCGAAAATCATGATTTTCCAACCTGCTTCGCCCTGATCACCAGAAACAATTTCGAGCACCCAGGAAGTACCGAAACCGGAGGTCTTTCACGTGTCGGGCCCTGGGAGGCGATGCTCGCTCGACACCGTTTCGATACTTTTCCGGGTGCTCGAAGTGATTTCTAGAATGTGGTCGGTAAGTACGATGGGAGCAACATAAGGCGAAATCCGAACCCGAACCCCGTCCCCCATCGATTACGGAGAGTCAATGATTGGTGGGGGTCGGGTCTGGATGTCGCCACCTAAAAATGTCTGGTCCCAATTTCTTCCAGCCTCCAGAACATCAGGCTCAATGTCTAGCGAAAGCGTTGCCCTTCTGATGTGTCCTTTTGACCCTTTGGGGAGCCTCCCTGGGACGCACTGGGCGGATCTTTTAAGCTCTGGCTCAGATCTCGAGTGACTCTACTTCAGCTCGCAGTTCGACTCAAGTTCGACTCAAGCTTGCTGTCCCCGCTCGCCCTGCCCCCGACCTCTCCCCCCCCTCGCGCTTCTCCATCCCCCATCCGATGATTTTCCCCCTTTGATGAGCCGCGTGTATCCTTCCAGAAGAATTCGGACGACCAGGGCCGACGATCGTTTTCCACCCTCACCCAGCCCCCCCGCTCTCCCCGTCCCACCTCCCCACGCCCCCTCTTCTCCCCTCTCCCAGCTCTCAGCTCCCTCGCCCATCCTTCTCCAAACCGCCCAATCCTCACCCACTCAGGATTCATATCGCACCCCGATGGGGCCGATTCAGATTCCGATTCCCTCCCCCTCCTCCATCCGCCTCCCCTACCCCTCCCCTCTTGCAGCCCCCCCCCCAGCAAAAACGACAGGGATGCCGCACACGCCGCGGCTCCCGAACCCATGGTATCCTTCGGACGTGCGCGTGTGTCTTGGCGAGGCCAGTGCTAGAAAGTCTGGATCGTCTCGGAGGATCTTGGACCATGTTGAAAAAGCAAGCATAAAACCATGCATAGAAGCAGGCCAAGCACGAGGGGTGGACGTCCGAGCGAAGGCAAGCACCCTGCCCTTTTGCGAGCCTGCCGAGGTGCACGCGCATGTTCGGGCACGAGGCCAGCGGGGGGGGGAGGGGGAGGGCGGGGCGGGGCGGATGATGAGGTGGGCAGAGCAGGGGACGGGAGGGGGAGGGAACGGGACGAGTGGTGGGGAAGCGTCGGGGTGGGAAGGATGAGGAGGGATGGGTGGGGGCGAGTGGGGCAGGGGACTCACGATCGCATCGTAAAGAAAACAAGATCAGGGTCAGAGCTGCCTCGCTATCTTCGGCGCCCTGAGGGCCCTCGATGGGCCTCGGGGCCGTCCAGGAACGGCTCTGGATGAAGAGCCGGTCCTGGGGAAAGGGTCGGGACTTCTGGGGACGCCGTGTTGAAAACACCAGAGCCTTGCAGTTCTCAGGAGTGATGAGAGGGGACTAGGGTCGGACGGGGCAACGACGAGGACAACTCCGTTCCAGAGCATTCCTGAACGCGAGCGTTCCTGCACGCTCTGAGAAGGCTACGGCGCCCAAGACATTCTCCAGAGCCTCCGACTCCCAAATATTCTCGATCTACCTTCATCCGATGTTATCGCCGTCTTGGCTTCGTCTTATACGGCGAACGAACAACACTCACCCATAAACACAGGTGGGTCGCAGGGAGGCGGTTTGGCTCTGCGTATGTGCGCGGGTTGTCGGACCCCTTGGGAGTCTCCCGTTGAGGCGGGGACCCCCATCCGGCAATACGCACCCATAGCCCCGCCCGTCCCCCCATATGGGTTGTGTGTTCTGTGTTATGTGGTGTGTGATGTGTGTATGTGTGTTGTGTGTGTGTGTTGTTTGTTGTGTGTTGCGCGTGTTGTGTATGGGTGCTGTGTATGTGCGTTGTGTGTGTGGTGTGTGTGTGATGTGTGTGTGTGACTGTATGTGTGTGTTGTTTGTTGTGTGTGTGTTGTGTCTTGTGTTTGCGTGTTGCTTGTCGGATGGTGCGAGTTGTGTGTTGCGTGTTGTGTATTATGTGTGTGTGTGTGTGTTGCGTGGTGTGTGTGCTGCGGGTTGTGGGTTGCGTGCTCTCCGTGCTCTGTGTTCCGTGTCGCGTGCCGCGCGTGCCGCGTGTCGTGTGCTGCGCGCGTGTGCTGCGCGTGCGAGTGCTGCTCGCTCGTCAAAAGCCGGGGCAGGGCGGGGGGCGCACAGCGAAGGGCAGGGGCGCGCCGCACCGGGCAGGGGGGGGCGGCGCGGGAGGGGGAGCGGGAGGGCACGGGGGCGCGGGGGGATGGGAGGGCAGAGGGCGCCCGGGGGGGGGGGGACAGGCGCGCGGAGGCGAAGGTCGGGCATGCCCCCCTCTCCAGGAGGAGCATGCCAACAGAGAAAAGCAAGTAGTCTGGGGACGACGTTCGGGCTATTCTTGGGTAGTTTGGTGCCTTTTTGTGAGTACTCCAGATTTCGTGATATAAGGGATGGGGGTCTGGACCCTCCAAGACAAGCCATTTCAGACCTCCCCCGTGGGAGAACCCTCCAAAACATCGTCCCCAGACCCCCAAGGCCCTCCAAGATAGCCTGGAACAGACGCCCCCCCGAAATGAGACCCCCCTCCCTTTATTACGAAATCTGGAGTATACTTTCTTTTGGCCCGCCCGTGGGAGGGCACGCCCGACCTCCGCGGAGGCGGGCGGAGGAGGGGGGGGGGATCGGCCACGCGCAGGGGGGGGGGGGGGGGCTTCCCTCCCTCCCTCCCTCCTCCCTCGCTCCCTCCCTCGCACCCTCGGTCCCTCCCTCGCTCCCTCGCTCCCTCGCTCCCTCGCTCCCTCCCTCGCTCCCTCGCTCCCAGAGGAGGGAGGGGCCTTCCCTCCCTCGCTCCCTCCTCGGGCAGGGGGGGAGAGGGAGGGAGGCCTCTCGGAAGCACCCCCCTGCTTCGCAGAGAAGGCGCGACGCCTTCCCCAGGAAGGCAGGGCCGGCGCCTCCTGAGAAGCGGCCTACTTCCAAGAAGCCTTCCCGCCTCCCCCGATTATCAAGTCGGGCCTGTCCCTCTACAGGAGGAAAATCCCAAAATAGCCAAAAAATAAGTCTGGGGACGATTTTGTTTCGATATGTTCGACTATTGTTTCATATTTGTCTGGCTATTTTTTCAACTGTTCCTCCATGATCCGCCTGTAGGGGAACATGCCCGACCTAACCCTACTAACCCCCTGTGCGCGCCGCCAAGTGGAGGGGGGGAGTGGCGCAGACCCCCTCGCGTTGTGGGGAAACCACGACGGGAGGTTCTGTTCAAGTTTCGGCCTCCGCCCGTAAAGAGTCAACCCCAGACCCCCTCGAGTCGTGAAAAAATCACGACGGGAGGTTTTTCACAAGTTTCGGCCTCCTGGGGGCCCTCGCTGGGCCTCCGGACCAGATAGCCCGTAGAGAGAGCCAATCCCATACCCCCGCAAGTCGTGCAAGAATCACGACGGGAGGTTTTTCAAACTTTTCGGCCTCCAGGGGCCCTCGCTGGGACCGTCAACAAAACGGCTCAGGATGAAAGCCCGGTCCCCAGGAAGGAGGTCCAGACTCTGGGGGTCGGCGCTGTAAAGAACAGTCACGACGTCGGGGGTCTGTGGCGGGGATAGCGGGAGGAGATGTGAGGAGACGGAAGAGTGGAGTGTTCGACTCACGTCGGAGTGACTTTTCGCCGGGGTAGTGCGGGCCCGTTGGGGCCCCCCGATCGCCGAACGCGATGCGACAGCAGCGCCTTGAGCGCTTGCGTTTGGTCCTCCCGCGGCCCCCCAAGAAGCCGCTCACCAAAGGTCACTCTTGCCCAGCTTGCGCGTAGCCATGTGGGCCTGGGAGGGGGCATCATCCTAAGCCTCCTAGATGGGGTCGCAGTAGATGGGGTCGGAGAATCGCGCCGCATCGCCGATGCATCGGCAATGCGGCTCAACGTGGAGCCCGATTTTCTTCGCGCTGGTGCCGACGAGGCGCCGCCGACATCGCCGATGCATCGCCAATGCATCGCCGATGCCTCGGCGATGCATCGGCGATGCGGCGCGATCCTCCGTCCCGATCTATTCGGACCCCATATAGGATTGTGGAGGACGATCAATGGAAAGGAAGCATGTTGCCAAACACTTTCCAGATGCCTCAAAGATGTGTTTAACATGTTTAAAACATGTAACAACACGGCTTTAAAGCATATTTAGAGCATGATCCGACATTTCATGCACTTCAGAATTCAATGATCGGACTGTTACGGTGTCTTTTGCCATGGCGTCCACAAATATAGGAGGCCTTCAGACATATGGGCTAGGGAGGGGACATCATTTTTGTTGAGCAGGGGTGGTGGGCAGGAAACGGCGCCCAGGCCGGGCCGCATGGGGGAGGGGCGGGCGGGTGGGTGGGCGTACAAAGGGCACCTCGCGTGCGAAGGGGGCGGATCGCGAGGGGGCAGGGAACCACAACGAAATCCAGGAGGGACCAGGATCCGCGGCGAGCGAGGGTGGGAAGTGAGAAGGGTAAGGCCTTCTCGGAAGGCGGCGCGACTTCTCGGCAGCCCTCGCGCCTTCTGAGAAGTTGTTTTTTTTTGTCTTCGGGGAAGGCTTAGAAACTTCTCAGAAGACCGTGGGACTTCCGAACCTTCTGAGAAGGCCATCTCCTTCTCACTTCCTCCCCTCGCTCGCCGCCGAAAGGAGAGAGAAGAGAGGGACCAGTGAGGAGGTGGAGGAGCAGAGGAGGGAGACGCGGAGGGTGAGGGATGTAGAGGAGGGGATGAGGAACGACGAGGTGGAAAGCGAGCAGTAGGATGTTGAGGAAGTTGGCGGAGATGCGCCGACCCCCAATCGCCCATTGGCCGCCGAGAGGGGCCCGATAGCCCCAACCTGCCGAGCAGCGTGTGGATTCACTATCGGAAGCCGATCGCCGATCTATCGGCGATGTATCGCCGATTCTACGTCGATGTTTCCCCCCTGTGCCTATCACCTCCTATCGCTGCCCCTCAGTGCGAAGTGGTTGTCGTTATTTTGTTCCTGGGAGGCGGAGGAGGAGGAGGAGGAGGAGGAGGAGGAGGAGGAGGAGGAGGAGGAGATAGAGGAGGGGGAGGGGTGGAAGGAGGATACGGAGGTGGAGGGGGCGAAGGTGATGGAGTAGTGGGGGAAGGAGGATGAAGAAGAGGTTGCCAGCGGAAGATCCACAGACTGCTACTCTCGAGCGCATGGCGAGATACTTCTCGACAGCTGCTACTCGGATGGGCTATTTGTGCAAGTGCAAATTGGGACCACGTGAATGTTTTAAAGAGATTCGTGCCTTATCACCACTGGGTATACGTGCAGTGCCTGGCTTCAAGTGCAGGCCAGTGTTTGTGAACCACCAACACACGATGCGAGTACTGTATGCTGTGGCTCTGGCGACGACGGAGAAGACAAAAGGCATTCGAGTGCAGCCAGCTTGGGGCTCAGTACCCAAGCCCATATGGCAACCACCGAAGCTAGCCGAGAATCTTTCAACTACGGTGAGGCCAAGCGATATTGTTGCAAGGGCCGCTGCTGCAGCTGAACATGTCTCTGTGGTGCGACGGGCTCATCATGTCACTTCTGTCAAGGTCATGCGAGCTACCATCACTTGGACGGACGAAGAGAAGAAAGATTGGGAGGGCCTCACAGGCCGAGATCTTCAGAACGAGCAGAAAAGACTTCTGCACAACCGAGAGGCACGCCAACAGGGATATCATGTGCTTGCCCCTCTCAAGGGGCCGAACAAGGATCAACCTGCCAAACTGGTGTGCATCAATTGCAAGCTCGAGTCAAAAGTGAGCCAGCTAGGCTCATGGTCGCGCCTTCTTTGTCAACCTGGAGCTCCACGTGGCCCACGTCTTGGCAAAAAGCGCACCGCTGCTGACTACGTAATCATGGTAGATGAGCATAACAAGAGGACCAAGATTCCAGGTAACCGTTGTCACGTTCTCACACATTATCGAGCTGACCAAAAGGACAAGGAATTGGTTTATACTCTGTGTGGCTCCACAGCACCGACAAGAAGATTTCAGCAATTTACTGCCGCTCTTTGTGGAGGGCGTTAGGACGCAAAATCCAGGCTAATCACCTGGTTTAGTCGCACAGCCACTGTCCACCCCTCTGGTGCACCTGCCTGTTGGACTCAGGTCGCTCGCAGGACAACAGCGCGTAGGGGTGGCGGTGAGTCTGGTTTTGCTGGATGCATCTGGTATGCTGGATGTATTTTTTATCTATCGCCGAGGGGGAGGACCCGTAGGGCCATTACTGGTGGCCACGATGCCTTAATCGCGACGGAGCGTGCTCCCCCTCGGTCGGCGCTGTGATTATTGATTATGGTGATATGGTGGGCTCAAATATTTTCGTACGTCCACTGTATATTGGCCCCTTGCATTGCATGAGAGGGCATCTTCATATGGATTATCAGGTGAAGAGGCAGCCAATGGCAGTTTTTTCTCTTGGAATCAAATAAACATGAGCAACATCAAGGTTGAGTTCTCATATGATATGTTGTACACGGAGCGGGACATCAGTTCACATACTGGTTTTTCCTCACTCATATGCTATTGTTGAACCTTTCGTCGCCGAGTGGGCACTGAAGGCAACAAGACTTTCTCAGTTATAATGCAGCAGGGAAGACTTTGCGATTCCCTCAGCCAGTACCTCAGTGTATGGGCTGCTACTATTACATACTATTCTGATGAAATGGTTCACTGCGGACGAGCGCCAAGGTGAAGGATGAGAACAAGGAGGAGGAGGATGAAGAAGAGGAAGCGGAGGAGGAGGAGGAGGAGGAGGAGGAGGACGAAAAGGAGAAGGAGGAGGAGGAGGAGGAGGAGGAGGAGAAGGTCGAGCAGTGGCGAAGCGTCCTGGCTTGCCTATAGGCCCGCCACAGAATGTTCTAATAACCTTTTGTGGTCTGCCCGAAATGTTCTTAGAACACTTCTGGCTGAAACTGCTTTGTTTTGACATATCGGGCTTATGATCTAAGCGCATTGTTCGTGTTTGGGAGAAGTTCTGGGTTCTGAGAAAATGCTGTGGTAGGTCCATAGGAATGCCGGGACGGTCGGTCCCTGCCCGAGGAGGAGCAGTCGGGGGGAGGGGGGGGGGAAGCAGGCCAGCCACAACTGGGGGAGCTGTGGTCCTTACCCCCCTGGGGGACCCATCGATTTCGACACCCCTCTCGAGAGACCGTCGACGCGATGGGTTCCCCCAGGGGGGGTAGGGACCACAGCTCCCCCAGTTAGGGCTGGTCGGGGAAGGACGATGAAGATGCGGAGGAGCGAGCGGAGGGCGACCGGACATTGCTTGCGCAGGCCTTCCCGCTGGCGCCGCCGACCCTGAGGGGAGCGACGAAGACGACGACGACGACGACGACGACGACGACGACGACGACGACGACGACGACGACGACGACGACGACGACGACGACGACGACGACGACGACGGCGCTCGCGAGCCCTCGTGGGGGCCCTTGTGGACCCTGTTGGCCTCGGAACCCGCTCCCACCCCCCCGGGACCCCGCCCAGGACCGCCCGCAGCATTCCCCCCCAGGACCGCCCCCCCCCCCCCCCCGGCGGGAAGGGACGAAGGGCCTTCCTTTCGACTCGGTTGGTGTTCCCCCTCTTGCGGCTCTGTGGGACTCTCCTGGGCCGTCTTGGTCGGAGAGGGGGGGGGGGTCACGACCCCTGGGCCCGCCCCCCGTGACCCCCCTCTGAAGGGGGGTGGGCGGGGGCGGCCCCTGGCGATCCCCTCTGGGTCCACCCCTGGGTCCCCCCCCCTCGGGGATCTCCCACGATCCCCGAGACGTCTCACACACGCCGACAGGGTCGCTGGATTTGCCTTGTCCTTGCAGTCTTTTTTGCCGACAAGGGGGCTTGGGCCGTGGTGGGTGTGACGTGTGTTTCCTGCGCTGGACGTGGTGCTTCACGCTCCTTCCGTCCTCGAGTTCGCGATCGCATTCGTGCGTGTTGAAAGAGTGTGTGTGTGTGTATGCGAGCTCATAAGTACTACTTGCACCCGTGTCGGTTATATTATCTATGTGCATGGGCTGTGTTGTCTATACACATTCTAGATCTTGGTGTTCTGATGGACCTGCTCCTGACATTCTGACTTCAAGGTTGTATTCATGACCATGTCGGTTGAGACTAAACTTTAGCGGGAACCGTGGCACCACGACGCAATAGTTTATGCTTAAAGTTTTTGTTGTAGGGGGCTCTGGAGTCCTGGAGTCTCATGCAGGAGCTCGTCCCGTGGCAAACCCCTTGGTACCCTTTTCCGTCGCTTCTTCGTCGCTTTCTCCTCATCACACATTCCTCGCATCGCTCTCCATCCCCACCTGATTGGTCCCCCATCTTCGCGAGAACCGCCTTACCACAGCCAAGGCTTCTCCAACGAACCCGACCTCGCCTCACTTGTATTCCCCAGCATGATATCTCAATTTGCCACGATCTCTCATTCCTCCCTTCCCCCCTCCTTTGGGGCCCTGAGACAGTGCGGTGACCACAGTGTGTGGTGAGTCAGTGGAGATTCGGGATCAACGCACGGTTTTGGGACTTCAGTCGATCTCCGAGACCAAGGACATCTCGGGCGATTGGGGCCTCCAGGTCCCAAAATCGTACGGTGACGCACCGTGCGGGGAGAACGTTGGAGATTCCGAGCTTACTGCACGCTCCGTCACCGCACCTTTCTGGGACCCCCAAATCCCCTGCCTTCATCCTCTCTCTCCTTCTGCCTGTGCTGTTTGCTCCTCCCCCCGTTTGTGCTGCTGGATACCGCCCTCTCCTGGAGAGTGTTTGTTTGCTCACCTTCTGGCGCGGAACGGTCGCTACCGGGGCCAAACCCATCCCCCCCGCCTTAGGCAGTGGCGGCAACCATCGTGCGTTGTGGGGGCCGAGGCCCCCTCACACATGTTGGTGCTCGCGTGCATACTTTCGCTATCGCAGCGCACCCCCGCCCAGGCGTGCCCCACCCTGCCTGAGCGTCACCGCTACCCGGCCCCACCCCACCCCGCCCCCCAAGTAACGACCGTTGCCGGTAGTCATGAAGTTATCTTGGCGAACGACCCAGGCATATGTCCAGTTATGGGTGCCGCGTTGTGGGTGCCGCTTTGGGTGGAGCTCCCTTTGGGGTCACGGAGGCGTGTGAAGGGTGTGCCGAAATGGGCGCGGGGGTGCCATGCGAGCAGATTCGGACGCAGCCATTGGGGCCTTTCGTGCAGCTCCCTGTGGGGACACGAAACGTGTGAGGGGTGTGCAAGACTGTGTGGGCCGGGCGCATGCGAACGTCGCTACCAGGGTCTTCGGAGCTCCCTGTGGGGGCACTAAACGTGTGAAGGGTGTCCCGAAATGGGTGGGGCGGACAAATGCGCACCCTGCCACTGGGGCTTTCGGAGAAGCCCCCTGTGGGGCCAGAAAACGTGTGAGGAGTGTGCCGAGATGGTGCGGGGTCGACGTATGTGAACCCTGCCACAGGGGCCTTCGGAGGGTTCCCTGTGGGGCTACGAAGCGTGTGAGGGGTGGGGGTGCAGCTCCCTGTGGGGCCGCGAAGCGTGTGAGGGGTGTGCCGACCTGGTGCGGGGGGACGCACTCCAACCCCGCCACTGGGGCCTTCGGAGGACGAAACGTGTGAGAGGTGTGCCGACATGGGCATGCGGAGGGCGGAGGCAAGGATGGGAGGAGATGGGAGGAGATGGGAGGAGGAGGAGGAGGAGGAGGAGGAGGAGGAGGAGGAGGAGGAGGAGGAGGAGGAGGAGGAGGAGGAGGAGGAGGAGGAGGAGGAGGAAGAGGACGGAGGAGCGAGTGACGCGAGGCGCTGTCGGTTGAAAAGGAGGGCCCAGCACGACAGGACGGTGGAGAGAAGACCAGCCTCCTCTCTGCCCCTCCGCCCCTCCGCCCCGCCCGGCCTGGCCGCACCCAGCTGGACGTCCCCGCCTGGGTCACCTCCATCGCCATCAACGAGGGCAAGCCGGGGGGCATCCTCCCCTGCGAGCACGAGGCGGTGCGCGCGGACGCCTCGAAGGAGCCCGCCGGTCGCCGCCCTTGTGCCGCCCCGAGCGGCGCGGCAGGGGCAGCAGTGCGCCAGCACACCCAAGCGCTCCTCGACCCCGAGGACGTGGCGACTCCTCGACCCGAGCCGGGCATGTTCGCCAGGTTTCGGGCCCTGGGACCCTCACGGCTCGATCCAGCTCGAAAAATGATGCAGAAAGGCGGGGTCTGGGGTGACGTCGGGCCTGTCCCTCTAATTACAGGAGGCGAATTCAAAAACAGTTAAAAATAGTCTGGGGCCGATGTTTGACATGTTTTGTATGGTTGGGGTATGTTTTGAGTTTCTCGAAACATGAGTATCCTAGGGGGAGGAGGGGGAGGAAGAGGAGGAGGAGGAGGAGGAGGAGGAGGAGAGGAGGTAGGAGGAGGAGGAGGAGGAGGAGGAGGAGGAGGAGGAGGAGAGGAGGAGGAGGAGGAGAGGAGGAGGAGGAGAGGAGGAGGCGGAGGAGGGGGAGGAGGGGAGAGCAGGGAGGAGGAGGAGGAGTGAGGATGAGGAGGAGGAGGAGGAGGAGGAGGAGGAGAGGAGGAGGAGGAGGAGGGGAGGAGGAGGAGGAGGAAAGAGGAGGATGAGGAGGAGGAGGGGGGGGGGGGGAGGAGGAGAGGAGGAGGAGGAGGAGGAGTAGAGAGGAGGAGAGGAGGAGGGAGGATAGGAAGGAGGAGGAGGAAGGAGGAGGAGGAGGAGAGGAGGAGGAGGAGGAGGAGGAGGAGGAGGATCGGAGGAGGAGGAGGAGGAGGAGGAGGAGGAGGAGGAGGGGAGGAGGAGGAGGATGAGGAGGAGGAGGAGGAGGAGGAGGAGGAGGAGGAGGAGGAGGAGGAGGAGGAGGAGGAGGAGGAGAGGGAGAGGAGAGGAGAGGAGGAGGAGGAGTAGGATGAGAGGAGGAGGAGGAGGAGAGGAGGAGGAGGAGGGGAGGAGGAGGAGGAGGAGAGAGGAGAGGAGAGGAGAGGAGGAGGAGGGAGGAGGAGGAGGAGGAGGAGAGGAAGAGAGGAGGAGGAGGAGGGAGGAGGAGGAGGATCTAGGGAGGAGGAGGAGAGGAGGAGGAGAGGGGAGGAGGAGGAGGAGGAGGAGGAGGAGGAGGAGGATGAGGAGGAGGAGGAAGGAGGAGGAGGAGGAGTAGGAGAGGAGGAGGAGGAGAGGAGGAGGAGGCGGAGAGGAGAGGAGAGGACGAGGGGAGGAGGAGGAGGAGGAGGAGGAGAGGGGAGGAGGAGGAGGAGGAGGGAGGAGAGTGAGAGGAGGGGAGGAGGAGGAGGAGGCAGGAGGGGAGGAGAAGGAGGAGGAGGAGGAGGAGAGATGAGGAGGAGGAGGAAAGAGGGAGGACGAGAGGAGGAGGAGGAGGAGGAGGAGGAGGAGGAGGAAGAGGAGGAGGACTCCAGTCGTGATTTTTTACTGTGTTCCAAGCTTCCCGTTCCGTCGGATCTCCGAGGGGGCCTCGCAGGAAGCACCGGCGGGCAAGGGGGGGGTCGACCTCGTGCGCGGCTCGGGCCAGACGAAGGTCCTCACCACCCACCAAACGCCCCCAACCCAACCCGAAGGCCTAAATTTTCTCTCCAATTCCAGTGGGTGGGGGTCGGGGAACATTGAAAAACACATGGAACCCGTATCCCCCCAACCCAAAATTCGGGTCAAGTTCCAGTCTTCGGGTTGGGTTGGGGTGGTCTGGTAGGTAGTCAGGTCTTGAGCCCCCCATAGCTTGTTGTTTTGTTTTACTCCGGCAAGGGTGCTTGCATGGACGGAGGGGGGGGGGTAGAGCTGAACCTCGAAGAAAAAAAAACAGCCATATGACCACAAATGTTTGGCGCTCCGCGCGGAGTTCTTTGATCCGCGCCTGGGCCCCCCAGCGGCGCCTCCGGCGCCGCCCCTGGCGCGCTCCGCGCGCCAGGGAGGGTGGTCCAGCGCGAATCCAAGAAATCTCCGCGGAACGCCAAACGTTTATGTTTATGTTTTTGTTATTTCTTCTAGAGCCTGAAGCAAGCCGCCGGCCACTTGCCACGTGAGGAAATCACGCAAGTCGAAAGGCACTTGCACACTAGTATTCGTTTGAAGAGGGACGAGGGGGTGGAGCGGGGGGGCAAGCGCCGTGCAAGTAAACTTCGCTAAGCAAAAACAGGCTCTAGCCGGAAACGGTGTGGTGACCACGCAGTGCGGTGAGTCAGTGGGGATTCGGGGTCCTTGCACGGCTTGGGCCAGTGGGGATTCAGGAGGAGGAGGAGGAAGAGGAGGAGAAGGAGGAGGAGGAGGAGGAGGAGGAGGAGGAGGAGGAGGGGGAGGGGGAGGGGGAGGGGAGGAGGAGGGAGGAGGAGGAGGAGGAGGAGGAGGAGGAGGAGGAGGAGGAGGAGGAGGAGGGGGAGGAGGAGGAGGAGGAGGAGGAGGAGGAGGAGGGAGGAGGAGGAGGAGGAGGAGGAGGAGGAGGAGGAGGAGGAGGAGGAGGGAGGAGGAGGAGGAGGGAGGAGGAGGAGGAGGAGGAGGGGGAGGAGGAGGAGGAGGAGGAGGAGGAGGAGGAGGAGGAGGAGAGGAGGAGAGGACGGAGGAGGAGGAGGAGGAGGAGGAGGAGGAGGGATGGGGAGGAGGAGGAGGGAGGAGGAGGAGGAGGAGGAGGAGGAGGAGGAGGAGGAGGAGGAGGAGGAGGAGAGGGGGAGGAGGGAGGAGGAGGAGGAGGAGGAGAGGAGGAGGAGGAGGAGGAGGGGGAGGATGAGGATCAGGGGGGAAAAACACAGACACAATTCATCGTCGATTCCCCAGAAGATATGGGATAATATGGGAAGTGGGGGGGAAGACAAGAACCCAGAAACTATGGGAAAATATGGTGGATCTTTTTTATTTGTGTACATTTATTTGTGTGTCCCAGGGCCCCTTCACAAGACGGGGCGGCCTCCCCCACCCAGTGCAGCGTCTCGCGGCCCCACAGGGAGGTCCGCCGGAGGCCCCGGTGGCAAAGTCACTCCCCGCAGCGCCTCGTGGCCCCGTGAGAGGGAGGTCCGCCGAGGGCCCCAGTGGCAAAGTCACCCAGCGCAGAGATCCCGAGGTCCACGCGCGGTCCGTCTCCGCACGGGCCCGGGACCCCCGAGGAGAACGGCGGGGTTCCAGGGAGCGGGGGAGGGGTGTTAGAGCCGTTTCTTCTTTTTGTTTGGAAGAAGACATCGGGCAAGTTGACTTGCATGGCGTTCGTCCCCCCCCCCTCGCCCCTCTTCAGACGAATACTAGTGTGCAAGTGCCTTTCGACTTGCGTGGTTTCCGCACGTGCAAGTCGTTTGCGGCTTACTTCGGGTTCCAGCCCCCCCCCGCCAATGCAAGTAACTTGGCCGGAGTCTAAAAGAAGCAGGGGACAAGGCTCTTGCGAAACTTGCTCCATGCAGTTGGTGTCGGCCCCCCCGCGAGGCGCTTTCCTCGAGACGTTGGCGCCACCGGCGCCAGGTGGCGCCAGAGAGATCATTTGCCGATTCCCGAACCCCCTTTGCTCGCAGACGATTTTCCTCCTCAACTCCCCGAGCTCCGCCCGAAGAGTTTGGCCGCGCAGAAACGGGAAAGGCCCTGGCACACAGCCCCAGGGGGCTACTCGGTCGCACCCCTTGTCGAGGCTGGGCGCCCCCCCCATCCTATATATCCCAGGGCGGGCCCAACATTTCTGGTCCAGTCGATAGCGCCCCAGAGTCGGGGATCGGGGTCGCTATATCTCAGAGCGTGAATTGCCAAGTCGTACCACGCGCCTCCCCGTCGAGTGGCCTGACCAGTGCGTGCCGTAGTTCGGCACCGCTTGGTGGCTCTTGGAAGCGAGGGTGGTCAAAAGCGAGGCAGGTTCGTTTGCCCCCTAATATCCCACGTGATTTGCCATCCCTCCCCTTCGCCCGACCCGAGCTGTGGCGCACGGATCGGTGTGCTTGCGGTGCCAGGAGGGGTGGGGGCGTCTGCGCGTGAAGAGCTGATTGGGCGTCTCCCGTGGGGGTTCTCAAAGTTAGGAAGGTCTGGATGCGCCCGTCGCGCAAATCGCTACGTCACGGTGCTCCAAAGCCTGATGGTGCTTGGACGCATTACTGTTCGATGTACGGTAGGTGCATGCGGCGATGGCGCGCCAGCCACGCCGGCGAAGGCGTTCAAGGTTAAATTCTGCGACGCGGAAGCACCGAGGGACACGGTGACGCCATTGGACCCGACTAAATTCAACCTTGAACAATCGGGGCCGCGATCGATTCAAGGTTGAACGATCGAAGCGGTGACAAAAATCCTTTGCAAGTGACGACGCCGCACGAACCTACCGTAGGCACTGGCTTTCAACATGGTGAACGTAGGCTTCAGCACACCACTGATTGTTCAATGACTGGGATGGCCTGGTGCCGCCGACCTTGAATGGGGACGACGACCACGACGGTGGCGTCGGCGGAAACGACGACGCTGACGTGGGTCAGAGTCCTCAGAGATGCTTCGTGGTGCCTCTTCGGAGCGCGCTCTTGGGCCTCTGGGGGACAGTTTTTAGGCCTCTTGGGAGCATCTTGAGGGCATCTGGGGAGCCTCCTGGGTGTCCTTTCAGACTTCCTGTGGGCCTCTTGGGGGTCCCTTGGGGCCTCGGGGCCTCCTGGGAGCTTATTGGGGCCGAGGGCTCGAAATGTTCGTTCGGGCTTCCGTGTGGGTACCCTCTTGGAGCTTGAGCCGTCTGGGAGGCCTCAAGGGCTGTTTGGGGGCCCTCTTGAGTCGTTCTGGGACCGTCTTGTAAACCTCTTGGGGGCATTTCGTGCCGATTTTGGTGGCATCTTAGGCCGTCTTGGGGCGTCGGGAAGCCGAAAAGGTGAGAACGCCAGAATCTTGCGAAAACCTAAAATGACATTGATAGAAGCATGTTGGGGCCCTCTTGGCTCTTGGAGGCCTCTTCGAGCGTCTTGGCAGCCGCTTGGACTGTCAGGAGGCCATCCCTGGCGTCGTGGACCGATTGTTCGGCGATTCGGGGCCCTGTTGGACCGTCTTGGGGGCCTCTTGGGCTGTCTTGGGCTCCAGAACCCCCCAGGGGAGGATGGTATTCTGACCCAGGACCCCCCCCCCCGGGGAACCCCTCCAGGAGCCCCCCCCCAACCCCAGGAGTCAAAGGGAAGGGTCTTCCCTTAGACAATTTCGTTTTGGTTTCGCTTTGTCTCGTTCGCTTAAGGAGGAGGGCCCAATGAAAGGGGAGGGGAGCGGCGACGGACTCGCCCAGGGAAAGGGGGGTCAGACGCGACGACGACGACGATGACGATGACGACGACGACAACGACGACGACGACGACGAGCACCGCGACGACGACGACGACGACGACGACGACGACGAGTCAAGCAGAACAGCGTCTTCCTCACGCCGGCATGGTCGGCGGATTTCTTGTGTGCATTTGCGTATATATGAGCGTGTGTGTGGCAACCGGCGTGGGTGGCAGAGGAGGAACCTGTACGTGTGTGTGTGTGTGTCTGTGTGTGTGTGCGTGTGCGTGTGCGTGTGCGTGTGCGTGTGCGTGTGCGTGTGCGTGTGTGCGCGTGTGCGCCGCGTGTGCGCCGCGTGTGCGCCGCGTGTGCGCCGCGTGTGCGCCGCGTGTGCGCCGCGTGTGCGCCGCGTGTGCGCCGCGTGTGCGCCGCGTGTGCTGGTGTGCGCGTGTGCGCGTGTGCGCGTCTGCGCGTCTGCGCGTCTGCGCGTGTGCGCGTGTGCGCGTGTGCGCGTGTGCGCGTGTGCGCGTGTGCGCGTGTGCGCGCGCGCGCGTGCGTGCGTGCGTGCGTGCGTGCGTGCGCGCGCGCGCGTGAGTGCGCGTGTACGCGTGTGCGCGTGTGCGCGTGCGCGCGTGCGCGCGTGCGCGCGTGCGCGTGCGCGCGTGCGCGTGCGCGTGCGCGTGCGCGCGCGCGAGCGCGAGCGCGTGCGCGTACGCGTGCGCTTGCGCGTGCGCGTGCGCGTTCGCGTGCGCGTGCGCGTGCGCGTGCGCGCGTGCGCGTGCGCGTGCGCGTGCGCGTGCGCGTGCGCGTGCGCGTGCGCGTGCGCGTGGGCGTGCGTGTGCGTGTGCGTGTGCGTGTGCGTGTGCGCGTGCGCGTGCGCGTGCGTGTGCGTGTGCGCGTGCGTGTGTCTGTGCGTGTGCGTGTGCGTGTGCGTGTGCGTGTGCGTGTGCGTGTGCGTGTGCGTGTGCGTGTGCGTGTGCGTGTGCGCGTGTGTCTGTGTGTGTGCGTGCGTGGGTTTCAAATGTCAGCTGTGAGTTCATCGGTGTTGTAGGACAGCTAAGTATATGTATTTGTATATGTATGTGTATATATATATATATGTGTGTGTATGTATGAGGCGTTCCAAAAAGGACCTTGCCTTCGAGGTTCGAAGACGATGCCATCTCTTCCGAAGGCGGCGAAATGGCTGCTGAAGACGGCGCAAGCAATTCGAGGCCGCCTCCGCTGGTGGAAGCTTGCGGAGGCTCGGCGGAGGCCGGCCGAAGCAAACATTGGCATCCCAAGAAATGACAACAGTTTTGGGCTCAGGGTTTCTGAAATCGGCCATGTATTCTAAGTTGTGTCCAAGCATGGTATAGTCTTAGTTGCCGATCGTTGTGGATTCAAGTATTCAATTGCACACTGTTGCTCGTGCAGCAGCTACCTGTCGTATTCACGAAGACAGTGGTGAGCGAACGCTGCCGCACGACCCCTTGCCGATGTTCTCCACGTTGATGTCGCCGATGCATCGCTGACGCCGCCGACGCATCGCCGATGCAGCTGCGATGCGTCGCTCTTTCGGCGCGATCCTCCGAGGTCAAGAGAACATAGCTTCCAGATCAGAGTTGGAGTTGCCGTAGCATATGTGAGACAATCTGGATTCCAGGGCAGACCGTGGAGATCTTATGAGATGTGCAGTGCCGTCTCTTCCTATGCCCGTTCCACTTGCAGCAGCCAGTTCTTGCTGCTGCTGCTTTGCTTTCTGTAGTTGCCTGCATACTCCCGACCTATACGGTGGAGGCGTTGGTTAAGGACTGTCCCGAGGAGGCTGCAGATACTGGAAGATTCCTTGTCTTAAGAGGGCGGCGGTGATATCGATGGCCAACCCACGCTTGGACTTCCACCGTGCTGCCAGACCGTGGCTCCCCAATCTAAGGGCTCCTTGTCCGAAGCCCCCACCGTACCTAGACCACGAGTTGAGAACCCGCGACTTGCAGAGTCGGTGTTCTCAGGCTGAAGTTCTCTCACGAATGATTGCTGGAAGGATGGAAACCCCGTAGGAGGAGCAGGAGGAGGAGGAGGAGGAGGAACATGATGACGAGGAGGAGGAGGGGGGATGAGGAGGAGGAGGAGGAGGAGGAGGAGGAGGAGGAGGAGGAGGAGGAGGAGGTGGCGGAGGATGAGGAGGACGAGGAGGAGGCGGAGGAGGACGAGGAGGACGAGGAGGAAAAGGACAAGGAGGAGGAGGAGGAGGAGGAGGAGGAAGAGAAGGAGGAGGAGGAGAGGCCCTGGTGGGAGGCCTCTGCCCCCCCAGGCGCTGCTGTGCCCGCTCAAGTTCGGGACCCAGGGCGTGGACGCGCTGCGCGCGGCCCTCACGCTGGACGAGCCGCCGCCCCGCGAGGCCCTCCGGCTCTGGGGAGGAGGTGCGAGACGGCAGGCTGGGAACGCTCGTGGCACAGGAGGCATGCCAGAAAGGACGTGGGCGTTTTATGTTCCTCTCTGGAATAACGCCCGCCATCAGAGGAGGAAAAGGTACCCATACCTCCACCCTTCCCTCATTTCCCCTTTGTGGGCCTCCTCGGAGGCCCTCGTCGCCGCTGGATTCGCCTCGAAAGTCTGGTCAGAACGCACCCCAGGCGAGGTCCAGGGGGTAGCGGTAGAAGCGGGAAAGGACGTGGGCATTTTTTGTTCCTCTCTGGTGTGACTCAAGCAGTGGCGAAGCGTCCTGGCTCGCCTATAGCCCCCCCAAACGATGTTCTGAGAGCCTGTTGTGGTGTCCACGAAGTGTTCTTGGAGCATTTCTCGTCGAGACCTGGCTTGGTCTAACACATCGGGTTAATGCTCTGAGAACCTTGTTTTTGTTCTTAGAAAATCTTTGGGTTCTATACTAACATTTCGTGGTAGGACTACAGGAATGCCGGGACGGTCGGTCCCTGCTCAAGTTACCCAGGCCAAACGCCCCCTCCCCCCCCTGGGTAAGGCTAACGATCGCACTGGGGGGGGAGGCCTGGACCCCCCCCCCCTACATGCATGCCGTGGTGCACGCAAGCGATTGATTGATACACCCGTGGCGCGGACACACCCTGGCAGGTGTACGCCGCGGCCGCCGCTACCGTGACCTTCCCCCCCGACCCCCCCCCCCCCTCCCATCCCCCGGGTAACGACCGTTGCCCGGGGCAACACCATAGACCGTCCTGGAGGGATCGAGAGGTTGGCATCTCATCTTCGGCGCAAGGTGGCCGGAAGGCCCGCGGAAGCCGGCGGCAGTAGAACGGTGGCGGCTCCGCTGGCGGCAGGCCGGCCGACCCTGGCGGCAGTAAGCATCGGCCTCCCAGGACGGGCGAGACAGACGGAGCAGTGGCAACGTCAGGGGGGGATTGAGCTCGTCGAGGTTCGGTGCGCGAGGTTCTCGGGCGTTATCGTCTGGCCTCGGCGGTGTTCCGGCATCGGGGTGCTCTCCTGCTGCGCCTCGCCGAGAGCGTTCCCAACACTCCCTTGTGTTGGTTTCTCGTCTTGAACAGATCACTGTGGTCGCAACTCCTCTCCTCCCCCTCCTCCTGCTCCCTTCTCCTCCTGCCTCCTTCTGGGCTGCTCGCTGACAGGTTGCGACCTGCGCAAGCGTCGCTCTCCACTTGCGTGGGCTCCTGGGAGGTCCAGCGGAGTGCGGTTACACGCGGACCCATTGGGGACCTTGCTACTCCTGGGGTGGCTGCGAACTGCGCAACCGTCGCCACTCTCGTGGGCTCCTGGTGGGTCAAGCGGAGTGGAGTTACGCGCAGGCCCACTGCGGACCTCGCTGCTCCCTGGGTGGCTGCGTTCCGCGCAATTGCCGCCACGGTCTTGCGACCTGCGCAACAGTTGCCACTTTCGTTTGATCCTGGGTGGTCCAGCGGAGTGGGGGTCAGCGCGGACCCACTGCGGACCTTCGTGCTCCCTGGGTGGCTGCGAAGTGCTCAACCGTCGCCTCTGTCTTGGGCTCCTGGGAGGTCCGGCGGAGTGGAGTTACACGCGGACCCATTGGGGACCTCGCTGCGTCGTGAGTGGAGGCGAACTGCGCAACACTCACCACTTTCACGGGCTCCTGGGAGGTCAAGCGGAATCGGGGGCCACGCAGACCCATTGGGGAACCCGCTGCTCCCTGGGTGGCTGCGAACTGCGCAACTTTCACCACTTTCGTTGGCTCCTGGAAGGTCCAGCGGAGCTGGAGTTACTTACACGCGGACCCACTGGGGACCTCACTGTTTCCTGGGTGGCTGCCGACTGTGCCGCCGTCGCTATTTTTCGTTTGCTCCTTGGAGATCCAGCGCAGTCGGGGGGCCAGGCAGATCCGGCGGGGACCTCGCGGCTCCCTGGGGGGCTGCCAATTGCGCAACTGTCGCCACTTTCGCGGGCTCCTGGGAGGCACGGCGGAGGCGAGGGCAGCGCAGATCCACGTGAGACTTCGCTCCCCCGGGGGCTGCGAAGCGGGCAACTGCCGCCACGGTCGTGGGCTTCTTGGAGGCACGGCGGAGGTGAGGGCAGCGCAAGTCGTGCATATTTGGCGATGTGTTCTTCCGTATGGAGCGATCATACCCAGATTCGCCTCGCGTGGAGAAGGGATGTGGTGCGCCACAGGTAATTGATTGCATGTTTTGTTCATCCGCGGACGCGTGTCACAGCGGACCTGGAACTCATAAGGAGACACTTGGATAGGGGAGCTGCGTACATAGGAGGAGTGATCGGAGGACGAACAAGAGGAGGACGTGGCGGATGAGCAGGAGGATGGACAGGAGCAACAGGAGGAGGAGGATGAGGAAGGAGGAGGACGAGGACGAGGATGAACAGCAGCACCGGGAATTGGAGTGGAAGGAGTGGGAGGAGCAGGATTACTTAGGGAAGGCGGAGATGTGGAAAGGAGGAGGGCGACAAGGATGACGAAGGGTTCGGATCCAGAACAGTGGCGCACGCCGCTGGGGCGAGCGCGCCCCTCTTGCAAGACGGGGGCGGAGCCGCAGGTTTCAAGTGAGGCCTGCGCTGCAGCAGGAACACCATCGTGAGATTCCGACAGCGCTCGGGTGGGAAACAATCACAGACGACAGATCAACTGTTGAAGCCCTGTGTGTGTGTGAAAACCATGCACGGAGAGGCCCCCACGCTCTGGACACGTCGTGAGGTAGGGGGCAGCCCTGAGGGGGCAAGGCTCAAGGGGGCACGGTGGGATCGAGGTTCGAGTGTTTCAGGCGTGTTCGTTGCTTCTCGGCGTTCCTCCAGCCTCGGGACACCTTCATCGTCTGCGCCCCGCCTAGAGCGTTCCTGGGGTGCCCGAATCGTCCCAAACGGCCGCGGGAGAGCCGAGTTAGGGCCCGAACGCCAGGTGGCGCCGACGGTGGGGGATAGTCTCACGGGGGGGGGGCGAATCGATCCCCAATCGCTCCTTCGTCGCCGATAGCGGCCCGATCACCCGCCTCCGCCCGGGGGCGTGCCGTATTCGCCGCCGGGGGCCTTGCGCCGATCGTTAGTCGACGTCGTTGGTTCCAATGCAGCGTTCCCCCCCCCCCCCCCGAGCCGGTTCCCCCCGCACGCTGCCCCTCGACAGGAGGAGCGGGCGAACGAGTGAGATCAGTGTGCAGCGAGTTCGATCCGACTCGATTCGATGCGACCCCAATCCAGTCCGAGATCGCTCCGACGCATCTCTTCCATGCTTTCGCGACAGTGACGCCACTACGCCTGCGGAGTTCCGTGTGTGTGTGTGTTTGTGTGTGCGTAGGGTGCCACCAGAACAGGATGGGCCAGCGTCGATGCGTATACAAGCGCGGGGGATCCGATCGTGAAGTAAATCATGCGATGTGCGAGTATTGCTATTGACCCTACGATGGTGATTTGCATGGCGCAGCCGCTTTGTGTTCCAGGATGGTCGGGGATCTGCTGAGCTGTTGTTGCAGAGCAAGTCATCGCCAGATTCGTCTCAGACTCTTCTTGCCGGGGCCCACCAGTCTCGGAGGGTCAGACATCGATATTACGAACCAATCCTCGCAGGTCCGCGTCGGCCACCCGCCAGAGCACACGCGGAGCGAGGGCGCGTCGCACGTCGGCCACCCGCCGGAGCACACGAGGACCGAGGAGGAGTCGCACATCGGCCACCCGCCCGAGCGCACCCGCACCGAGGATGAGTCGCATGTGGGCCACCCGCCGGAGCAGACGCGCGTCGTGCACGCTGGCGACCAGCTGCCAGAGTTCGCGTGGGGTGCGAGTGATGTTCGGGTCGGCCACCCGCCCGAGCACACGCGCACGGAGACCGAGTCCCACGTCGGCCACCCGCCCGAGCACACGCGCACGGAGACCGAGTCCCATGTCGGCCACCCGCCCGAGCACACTCGCACGGAGACCGAGTCCCACGTCGGCCACCCGCCCGAGCACACGCGCACGGAGACCGAGTCCCACGTCGGCCACCAGCCCGAGCACACGCGCACGGAGACCGAGTCCCACGTCGGCCACCCGCCCGAGCACAGCCGAGTCGAGGGGATGTACCAGTCTGGCGGGCGCCCACCCAAGGACACCCGGGAGTCGTCGGGGGTGGTATGCAGCTACGGCGAGGTGCCCGTCTGCCCAGCCATGGACTTGTTCGTGAACGGTGAGGTCTTGCAGGTGGTGGAGGACAGTCTCATGGACCTCGGCACAGGGTTGCTCACGCCTGCGGACGAGCGCTTGGTCCAGAGCATCGTTGTGACCAGCTTCAAGAACATCAGCCGGGAACTGCACGCGCATGCCCCGGAGGTCGCGGGCGAGCTGGAGATGATGCAGCTGAGTGAGCTGCAGAAGGATTCGGTGATCGCCGCGATGAAGCTGGTGGCGAACCGCCAAGTGCAGAGCCTTGGCCTGGAGGTCGCGAGGGCGATTCGCGACAGCCCCAGCGCGGACAGAGCGGACCTCCTGCTCGCGATTGAAACACAGTTGAGGCCGAAGCTGGCATCGCTGATGCAGCTGAAGAACGAGCTGGTGCCTGCCTCCCTGCGGACCCTGTGGGGTTCAGACCACCAGTGGGACATGACCCTGGATCCCGAGAGCGTGAAAACGATGCGGGGGAACGCCAGAGAGTTCGCTGAGGACACCCAGCCCGCCACGACCGTCGACCTGGCCAGGAAGTCGTTCAGCATCCTGGGCGGAGTGCTAGAGGAGGGCCGAGCCCTCATCGACGCGATCAAGCTGTGCACGCGCATGTTCGGCAGCGAGCTCGCCGTGCCCAACTGGGCCACCTCGCTGATCGGGAAGGCTGGCCCGAGGCTGGAGACGTGCGAGTTGGACGCGCCCATGGACAGCAAGTTGGACTTCATGAAGGCTTAAGTCGGGCCTGTCCCTCTACAGGAGGAATATCCAAAAGTAGTCAAAAATTAGTCTGGGGACGATGTTTTGACTATGTTTGAGCAGGTTGGGAGTGTTTTTGGGCTATTCTTAATTTCTTCGTCCCAGATCCGCCTGTAATTAGTGGGGGCGTGCCCGACGTGGATGGAGGCCCTGTTCTGCCCGCTGAAGTTCGGCACCGCCGGCCTGGACGCGCTGCGAGCGGCGGGGCAGATGGTCGCTCTGGACGCCCGAAATGGGTACGGAAAGAATGGGTACAATGCCCAACAACAATTCCTGCTCATTTTGAACAGGATCCGCTGTCCACGCGTGGCCTGTGGCCAATTGAGACAGAGGGCCGCCTGCCCAACAGCGGCCGCTGTTGGTTTGGGACAACATTTGCTGTTGGGCATTGTACCCATTTCTGCGGTACCCATTTCGGGCGTCCAGAGGTCGCGGACGAGGACACCCGGGAGGCCAAGCAGGAGCGCGGCAGCACGGGGAGCAACGAGGAGGACAGGCCCTCTGGCGCCCGTGGAACGGGCGGGGGGGGGGCGACGGCTGAGCAGGGGGGGGGCCCAGCCGCAGGGAGCTCACGGCTCGAGGCCCGTTTTTTGGGGGGAGGGTCGAGGCTCGAGGTTCGCTCTTTGGAGGTGTTGGATTGTCCTGGGTCGCCCTCGTGGCCTCGGCCGGGTCCGCGGCGAAGTCCTGGCCAGAGCGCACCGCCAGGGAAGTCCAGGTTCGGCCCCTGATTGGGGGGCGACGTTGTGGCAGAATCGGCGCGGGGTTCGAGGTTCGAGGTCTGCGGGCGTGCTCGTGGGTGCTCTGCGGCTTTCCGGCCTCAGGGTGCGCTCCAGCGTGCAGCTCTCCAGCACCCCGTGGGCCCGCGGCTGCCGTCTTTGGGGCCGCGCAGGGCCCTGCCGGCGCGTATGGCAAGCGACGGGGGCCGGGCTCTCAAAAAAGATAAATACATAAATGTTAAACAAGCCTTTCTAAGCGTTGAGGAGTTGTCTTTTGTCACGCGCTGCGATTGCCGCGGTCGGGGGCGGGGCGTCGTCTTCTGAGGCAACGCCCCCGCGAGTTTCAGAGAAATGAGCTCCGCACTGGCATGAAGGAGAAAACATGGGGCCGCTCAGGGCCCCATGTGTGGCCGCTCGCCTGCAGCCCATCCCGCGCACTGCGCCCCCGCTGCCGAGCGCCCGAGGTCCATGCTCGTCGGGCACCCGCCGGAGCACACGCTTGTCCAGGCCCCGCCGACGCCGGCGCCCGTGATGGTCATCGGGCACCCGGCCGAGAGGACCAGGGTGGAGCACTCCCCAGCGACGTGCAAGTACGGGCCGATGCTGGTGTGCCCCGCGCGGGACCTCTTCGACAGCGCGGAGGTCGTGGACCTCGTGGCCGAGGGCCTCACCACGGTCGGCCAGGGCTCGCTGCTGGCCGAGGGCGACGGCGCGCTGGTGCACGACATCGCCACGTCGGGGATGTGGAACTTCAGCGGCGCGCTGGACGAGCAGGCCCCGGAGGTGGCCGGCCACCTCCGCCTGCTGCAGCTGAGCGAGGAGCAGCGCGACGCGGTGCTGGCCTCCCTCCGCCTGCTGGCCCACCCGCGCGTCCGGGATCTGGGGCTCGCCGTGGCCTCGGCCATCCGCGCCAGCCCCTACGGGGATGACAACGCGCTGCGGGGGGCGGTCGAGGACGCGCTGCGCCCGCGGCTGCGGGAGATCATCGGCCTGCGCGACGAGCTCGTGCCCGAGTCCCTGCAGCAGCTGTGGGGCACGGACCTCGGCGGCGAGCCCACGGGGGGGGGGGAGTGCGAAGGGGCGAGCCCTCCTCAGAGAAGGCCCAGAGGGTCCCCCTGGCCTTCCGAGAAGTGCGTTCTGAGCTTCCCCCGAAGACACAGAACGCGCCGCCCTCTGAGAAGGCCTTCTCCCTCTCACTCCCCCCCCCTTGTCAGCGCCGTCGTCGTCGTCGTCGTCGTCATCGCCGTCGTCGTCGTCGTCGTCGTCGTCGTCGTCGTCGTCGTCGTCGTCGCTGTTGTTGTCGTCGTCGTCGTCTCCGCCGAGGACAGCCTCTGGGACATCGCCTTCGACAAGCAGAGCGTCGCGGCCGTGCGCGCCTCGCGCGGCCCGCTGGCCGAGAGGTACGAGCCTGCGTCGGGGCACATGGGCTTCGACGCCAAGTTCCACGGCCTCGCCTCTGGCGTGCTCGAGGAATCGGGGAACCGACAATCGGAGGAGAAAAAAACGCCACAAACCTAACTTTTGGCGCTCCGCGCGGACTTCTTGCATCGGCGCCCGGGCCCTCCTGGCGGCGCCTCCGGCGCCGCCCCTGGCGCGCTTCTCGTGCCAGGGGGCTGGGTCCAGCGCAGATCCAAGAAATCCGCGCGGAGCGCCGAAAGTTTCTGTATGTGTATGGCGTTTGTCCTTGCTTAAAACAATGACACACAGTCGGACCGAGGTAGAAGATCGAGGTCGGTTCGGGGATGGTACCAAGGTGTTCTTCGTGTCTGTTGTTTGCCCTTGGATCAGATGTTTGCTTTGGCCGACGGAGGTCCTCCTGTTCTTGAAGGATGTTCTTCTGGCCTTGACCCAGGTCCGACTGCAGACATGGAGGTCCGCGCGGACCTCCGAAATTATGGTTATGCTATTCGTCGCCCCTCTGAGGAAGCCTGCGCGCTGCTGGACGTGCTCAGGCTCTGCACCCACACCTTCGGCGCCGAGCTGCGAGCCTCCGGCCTCAGGGCCGCTCTGCTGGGGTCGGCGGCGCAGGAGCTGCTCCGCTGCGAGGGCGGCGCAGAGGGGAACGCCGCGGCCACGCACAGCCCGGGGGCCCAGCTTGAGTCCATGAAGGCGCTCTTCTGCCCCCTGCGGCTCGGAGGCTTTGGCCTCGACGCGCTGCGAGCCATCCCCGAGATGGAGAAGGCTCGGCGGCGAAATCCGAACCCTGTCCTCGCGCCGATCCACGATTCTGGCTACTCGATGGGCGACGGGTGCAGGTTTCGGAATTCGCCGAACACCTCGCGAAATCCGAGCCCTACCCGCGCCTCCCACCGATTCAGGAGGATCGATGGTTGGTAGGGGGGTATGGGTTCGGATGTCGACAGCTGAAGGCGGCGGCCATGTACCGGCCAGCGCGAAGCAGCGCCGAGGGCGGCGAGGGCGAGGGCGAGGCCTCGCAGGCCTCGGCGCGGCCAGCGTGCAGCTACGAGGCGTCGCCCGTGTGCCCCGCCTCGGACCTCTTCGAGGACATGCAGGTGCAGGCCGTCGTGATCGCGAGCCTGATGCGGGTCGGCACCGCCGTGCTCCACCGGGACGAGGACGACGAGGTTCAGGAGGGAAAAATCACACAGACACAATTAATCGTCGAGTCCCAGGAAAATATGGGACAATATGGGAAGTGGGGGGGAAGACAAAAACCCAGAAAATATGGGAAAATATTGGGAATCCTTTTATTAGTATGTATTTATTTGTGTGTCCTGGAGCCCCTTCAAAGGTGGTGCGCTACACGGCGGCCGAGTGCTTCCGGAACATCTACAAGTCCATGGCCGACGCGGCCCCGGAGGCGAAGAGCCAGCTCGAGACGCTGCAGCTGAGCCAGCTGCAGAAGAACGCCGTGCTCACGTCCCTGTGGCTGCTGAGCGACTTCCGCGTGCAGGCCGTGGGCAAGCAGGTTGCCAAGGCGATCAGGGACAGCGACTCGGAGGAGCCAGAGGACGTCAAGAGGGCGATCGAGGAGCACATGCGAGACCACGTGCTGCAGGTGCAGAACCTGCGCGACGAGCTCGTCCCGGCAGCCCTCCTGGAGCTCTGGGGGGAAGGACACCAGTGGGAGATGACCCTGGAGGCCGACAACATCAAGGCAATGCGCATGGTCGAGGGCGACTTCGCGGACGGCACCGTCAGCTCCAACGCGAAGGTGGACCTGGAGAAGAAGACCTACGCGGTGTTCGGTGGCGCGCTCGAGGAATGAGCGGGCAAAGAACGGTATAGCATAAACTGTTCTGTAGTCGGGGACGCTTGTCCCCTGGGCGGTTGGAAGGTTTATACCCCTGCGTGCCACCGTGGGGGTAGAAACTTTCCAGCCGCCCTGAGACAGGCGTCTCCGACGGCGAACAAGTTTATTGTGAAGGCCTTACGGCCAGTGCCGCCGACTCTGACGACGACGAGGACGACGAGCAGGAGGAGGGGGAGGAGGAGCAGGAGGAGCAGGCTGAGGACGCGGTGGAGCAGGAGGAGGAGGAGGAGGAGGAGGAGGAGGAGGAGGAGGAGGGGAAGGAGGAGGAGGAGGGAGGAGGAGGAGGAGGAGGAGGAGGAGGAGGAGGGAAGGAGGGGGAGCAGGGGGCAGGGGGAGGTTTACACAATGTTTTGCCGCCTAAAGGAGGGCCGTGCACTGCTGGACCTGGTCCGCCTGGCCACCCGCTTCGGCGGCGAGGAGCTCGCCGTGCCCATCGCGGCCGCGTCCACGGCGTCGGGCGAGGGCGGCCCGAAGCTGATGGCCTGCAGCGCCGACGCCGGCGAGACCCAGGAGTCGGCGGCGGCCCAGGGGGGGAAGCGAGGAGGGGCGGGCCTTCTCTGAAGGCTCGGAAGCCCCCCGGGCCTTCCAAGAAGTTTTCTCGGTCTTCTCGAAGGCACAGAGAAACTGCTCAGGAGTCGGCGGCGACCCAGGGGTCGGAGTCCCAGAGGTTGACACCAACACCAAGGTCGGCGGTGTGCCTCCACCGAGGGGAGGCGGTCCCGTTCTCGGTGATGGTGGTCATCTTCTGGCTTCCAGGGTGGCCGAACTATTGCCACCGACACCGAAATCTAGGATCATCTTCCCCCTGTGGAGGCACTCCCCTGGGCTGGTGTTGGTGCCAATTTCCAGGCCTCCAAGAAGGGGCGGGCCTTCTCTGAAGGCTCGGAAGTCCCCCGGCCTTCCAAGAAGTTTTCTCAGTCTTCTCGAAGGCACAGAGAAGCTGCTCAGGAGGCGCGGGGGGCATCTGAGAAGTCCCGCCGCCTTCCGAGAAGGCCTTCTCCTTCTCACTTCCCCCCCTCGCTCGCCGCCGAAGGAGGACTTCATGAAGGCCCTCTACTGCCCGCTGAAGTACGGCGCGCAGGGCCTGGACGTCAGAGGAGGAAAAGGTACCCATACCGCTACCCTTGCCTCGGTTTCGCCTTTAGGGACCTCCTGGGAGGCCCTCGTCGCCACCGCCGGATCCGCCCCGAAATTCTGGTCAGAACGCACCCGGCGGGAGAGGTCTGGAGAGTGTAGCGGTATCGGTACCTGTGGTTCGTCAGGACGCGCTGAGGGCCGTGGCCGAGATCACCCGCGAAATGGGGAAGGACGAGCTTGGCCGCGCCGCCAGCTCCCACAGCCACATCGGCCACCCCCCGGAGCACCCCCGGTCCGGCGAGCACGACACGGGTCCTTCCCCGCAGGCGTCGACGCGCTGCGTGTACAGCCAGGTGGACCAGTGCAGCGTCCCCGATCTCTTCGAGAGCCCCGAGCTCCTGGAGGTCGCAGCGGTGGGCATCATGAGGGTCGGGCACGGCCTGCTGGCGCCCGCCGACATCGGCGCCGTGAGGGACGCGGTGGCCACGGGCTTCGCCAACATCAGCAAGAACCTGGTGGCGGGCAACCCGCTCCTTGCCTCCGCCGACAGGACGAGGCTGGACAAGGACGGGATGCACGCGGTGCTGACCTCGCTGTGGTTGGTGAGCGACGAGCGCGTCGAGGACATCGGGCGCGCCGTCGCCCAGGCGATCGAGAGCTCCAGCTCCGCTGACAAGGACCAGCTCAAGCAGCGCATCGCCGACGCGCTGCAGGACCAGCACCAGGTGATGGCCGACGTCCGCGCCGAGCTGATCCCCGAGGCGCTCCTGCAGCTGTGGCGCCAGGGGCCCAAGTGGGCCTTCGCGCTCTCGGACGAGAACATAAAGTCCCTGCGCGGCGGCACCGGCGACTTCTTGGGCGGCGACCCGTCCATGCTGGGCGCCGTGGACGTCCCGGGCAAGTCGTTCGCCATCCTGGGCGGCGTGCTGGAGGAGGGTCGCGCGGTCATCGACATCATCAGCCTCCTGACCGGCCTCTTCACCAACGGGGACGGCCTCAGCGCGTGGGACGACGAGCTCGCCGGCAAGGTGAGCCTGAGCTTCGACTCCTGCCAGCGCACCGTCCGCTCGTCTGCGCCCCTGGACTTCATGCAGTCGCTGTTCTGCCCCCTGAAGTTCGGCGTCCTGGGCCTGGACGCGCTGCGCGCCCTCGCCGACGCGGCGGCGGCGGCCGCGCCGCGGCCCGAGGCCTCCCTCGCGGGCGAGGTGCCGCACCCCGCCGCGCCGCACCGGGGCGGCGAGCCGACGTGCGCCCACAGCGGCCTGCCGATGTGCGTCATGCTGGACCTCTTCGAGCACCCCGAGGTCGTGGACGTGGCCGCGGGGATCGTCCTGCGGGTCGGGCGGGGCATGTTCGTGGGCCACGACGACCGCGCCATGGTGCGGGAGGTGGTGGCCGCCAGCTTCCGGAACATCAGCGAGCAGCTCCAGGCCAGGGTGCCCGACGTGGCCGGGGAGATGAAGAAGCTGCTGCTCAGCGAGCTCCAGAAGAAGGCCGTGCTCGCCTCCATGGAGCTGCTCGCGAACGAGGAGGTTCAGAGCATCGGCCTGGACGTCGCGCACGGCATCCACGAGGCCGCCCTCTCCAAGGAGGACTTCCGCGAGGTGACCCGGGACTTCGTGAGCGATTTCGTCGAGGAGAAGCTCCGCGGCCGCCTGCCTGAGCTGGTCCACCTGCGCAAGACCTTGGTGCCAAGCTTCGTCAGGACTCAGAGGGCGAAAGGACGCCGGTGCCGCTAGCCTTCCGCGCTGGTGAGGCTTCGGGGTGCGCACGGGCAACTCTTCCCCGGGCGAGGAGTCCCAGCTCGCCTCGGCAGGCCTCCCGAGGAGTCCCAGCCGGCCTGAGCAGGCCCCCGGGGTAGCCTCTGGGGCAGTCTCAAGAACCCCGGCGCCGCCTCCTGCGGCGCCCGTGCAGGGCGCTCCGCGCCCCAGGGTTGCTCGGGGGAGCGGGCCTGTTGAGGCCAGCTGGGGCTACTTTATCAGTGAGTTCAATTGGTTTCAGGGTTTTAACAAACGGTCGCGGCCACGCAGAGGGCGTGCGCAGCGACGCCCCAATGCTCGGTCGCCAGTACTTCTGCGAGGCGGCGCCCCCGCAGGCACGCAGGGGCACGCGTGGCGACGGGGGCGTCGCCACGCACAGCTTCTAAAGACCAAACATTTTGAAAACCAATTGTTTCCGCTACTGAAGTACCCAGGATGACCGTGGAGGCCCGCTGGGCCTACGTGGGCTCTATATGTGCGAAGCCCCAAGCCTCACCAGTACCCTTCCCTCGCCGCCACGGCTGGTTTCGCCGCGAGCTCTTCGTCAGAGCGCACGACAGGGAGGAGGTCCGTGGAACAGCGGCGTCGGAGTCTTCTCGTTACTTCAAGGGCGCTCTGGGGGAACCAGCATCAGTGGGACATGACTCTCGACCCCGAGAACATAGGCACCATGCTTGGCGGTAGCGGGAAGTTCGCGTCCGCGTTCAAGCTGGAGAGCTCGCTCAGCACGGAGAAGAAGCACGATGCAATTTTGGGGGCGGTCTTGGAATTGGGCAGGGCATTCATTGACCTGATCAAGGTCTGCACGCGCTCGTACGGCAAGGAGCTCGCCATCCCGCCGTGGGCCACGTCCATGACCGGCCAGGTGAGCCCCGAGCTGTTGTCGTGCCAGCGGGACCTCAAGGGGGACGAGCAGGTGGAGGCGATGAAGACCCTGTTCTGCCCCCTGAAGTACGGCTCCCAAGGCCTCGAGGCCCTGAGGGCCATGCCGGAGATGGAGGACAAGTTTGTGGCCGGCTAGGCTGCGATGCCCAGGGAGCCAGGCCATTTGTTTCTTCCTTCCGCCTCCCCTTCTGCTTCTCATCCCTCTTCTAAGTATCATTATCAATACGGTCAATACGACTGGTTACGCTTGTTACTAGCATGCGTAGTAGGGTTGGTATGACGATGCGGATGATGATGATGATGATGATGATGATGATGATGATGATGATGATGATGATGATGATGATGATGATGATGATGATGATGATGATGATGATGATGACGATGATGATGATGATGATGCCGATGCTGATGCTGATGCTGATGCTGATGCTGATGCTGATGCTGATGCTGCTGATGCTGATGCTGATGCTGATGCTGATGCTGATGCTGATGCTGATGCTGATGATGCTGATGCTGCTGATGATGCTGATGCTGCTGATGATGATGCTGCTGATGATGATGCTGCTGATGATGATGATTGTTAGTATTACTACTCTTGTTGCTCTTATGACTGTTGCTTGTACTGTTCACGCTGTTGTTCGTAGTCCTCTTCATCGTCGCGCCCATGTCGCGCCTATTCTCGGCAGATCGCTCCCCCGATTGGCGCGCCTAGTCTCGGCAGCGAGCTCACCTTCCACACCCTGCTGCTCCTCCTCCTCCTCCTCCCTCCTCCTCCTCCTCCTCCTCCTCCTCCTCTCCTCCTCCTCCTCCTCCTCCTCCTCCTCCTCCCCCCCCCCTCCTCCCTCCCTCCTCCTCCTCCTCCTCCTCCTCCTCCTCTCCTCCTCCTCCTCCTCCTCCTCCTCCTCCTCTCCTCCTCCTCCTCCTCCTCATCCTCCTCCTCCTCCTCCTCTCCTCCCCCCCCTCCTCCTCCACCTCTTTGACGTTGACCAGGCATGAAGAACGAGCTTGTTGCGTCGAGAAAAGGTAAATCAGTAAGACACTTGAATGCAGACTAAGCGCAGGAGGGGGTGCGAGGAGGCACAGAAAAGAAGAGAAGCCCGAGGGGGCATAAGGTATTCGATCTGCAGGCGTCAGCCAGGTATTCCCTCCCACAGGACCCGACTGTTCCTCCTCCTACCCATCTGGTCCCTCACGTGGCCAGGGCCCTCACCGAGGGCAGTTCTCAGTTAACCCTCACCGAGGGTAGCTGGGAGTCAAACGTTCGCGGGCTAAACTTGCGATATTGCCAGATCCTCAGCATCAATCCTCAAAATCATAACTAACCTATTCTGCGACTGCCCTCACCGATGGTTCGTAGCTGCGACCCGCTGTCGCATTCCGAGTGCTATGCCGGAAGCATGAAACTATGCGCGACTGCAGAGTTATGCTCCGGATCCCCCACCAACCACACCTCCCCCGCTACGCCTCGGGTACCACGACTGGTGGCAGAAAGAAACGGCCTCCCATACACGCAAATCAACTGCGAGATGCCGACTCAATATTCTGTCTTGGTGTTCACGTGCTTCACGGGCCCATCACCACGGCCAGGAACATGGAGGCGGAGCGGACCGAGGAGCGGGGCTAAACTCGGTCGCTGTTCGTCTCGGGCGCCGCTGCGCTCGAGCAGACACCGCGACATCAAAGTGATCGGTCCACTGCAGGTTGCAGAGGAAGCACCGAGCGCTCGCAACGAATACCCTCTACTCCACCACTACCTCCTCGTCCAGACCTATCCCACCCTACGCCTCGGGAACAGAAACTGGTGGCAGAAGGAGGCTGGTTCCCTTACACGCAGAGCATCTGAGAGACGCCGGCTCCATAGTCCATGGAAGTGGAGCGGACCGAAAAGTGGGCTTAAATTTAGCCAGAACGTGCACACAGCTTCAACGCGTTCGGTCCACAACAAGTTGCACAGGAAGCAACCGGGTGCCCACAGTGAATGCCTTCTCCGCCTCCTCCCCGCCTCCATCAATGACTCTCATGAGACTCCCCCCGTATTACGGGGGGAGTTTCATGAGAGTTATTTACAGATCTGTGGAGTTGTTACTAACAGATCCACAGATCTGTTACTAACAGATCCATGGTCTGTCCCGGTGGCCACGTGCCCCAAAGGCCCACCACCACGGCAGGGCATGTGGGCGCGGACTGGGGAGCGGGGCCGCACGCAGCCGCTGTTCGTCTCGGGCGCCGCTGCTCTGGAGCGCGCACCCCAACGTCAAGGCGCTCGGTCCACAACGGGGTGCAGAGGAATCAACGGAGCGCTCGCAACGAATGCCGTCTATTCTTGTGGAAGTCGGTTAACGGAGAGGAAGCGTGCTGCCAAATGACTTCCAGATGTCTGAAAAAATGTTTCAAGCATGCTTCAATCTATAAAAAAACATGTTAGAAACATGTTTTGAATTTGTTTTATACGTTCAAAGCTCATTTTTAATTCAATGATAGGATTTTTAGAGTATCCATTGTCATGGCATCCACAAGTCAATTCCCCCTTCCCCCTCATCTTCATCGAAAGCCTCCACCTCCAATATCCCGAACTAAGGAGGTAATCAGCACTACCGAAGCGTGCGTGCAGTCGATGTCGTTCCATGGCTGCTCAGTATCGTGTGCACGCAGGAGGGTAATACTTCGCGTGGCATTTAAATCCGTAGCGCCGCCTCCCTCAAGATATCAACGAGTGAAAACGCTGGTCTTAAGTCAAAAGCCGGTCTTAAGCCAGTCTCAAGGACATCCCCTGAATCCACAGATATTGTATGTTTCTCCCTCCCATTTGCAGCACAATAATGGCCACTCTTCGTTGCGACGCACTCTCAGAGAGCAACGTTGATCGCTACACGGCACGGCAAACAGCGAAACATGCCGCAATCTCTTCGCGACAACGCATTGTGGTGGGAGCGCGTCAGGACGCTTTCGACACGATCCGACTAGCGGTGTTCCACCACGTAACCCGCCCTCCCCAATATCAAGGCTGACCAAATCGGTCCTGCCGGCCTAGTGGCAGTGCGTAGCTCTGGCAGTCAACGCGCGCGCAGCGGTTGACACGCACGTGCTCCTCCCCCCACCACCATATCCATCTCAATCCTCCGCGCCTCCTCTTCCAAAGAAGGTTTGCGAGCTCAACAGCTCTAGAGTACTTGGGAGTGCGACGCCGATCCAACGTGTGGAGACAACGAAACGTATGTGCGATAGGAGGTTGAATGATGCCGGCAGGGGCAATGAGACGATGCCCCTTGAACTTTGCGCACGGCGACGCCCTCATCGAGGCGAGGGCGGCGCCTCAAGATGCTATCATCGAGGGTCGGCCCCCACAGGGGGTTTGGAAACTGTTCAAAGGCACCTCCATCTCGCTCCTCCTCCTCTAGGGGGCCACATGCGAACCTTACCCCTACCCTCCATGGTTTCTGAGTGGGAGAGTGGGGTTGACTTCGTCCGGGAGCTCCCGAGCGAAGTGACCCCCACCCTCCCCTCAGAAATCGTGGGGGGTAGGGGTAGGGTTCGCATGTGATCCCCTAGTCCTCATCTCTTCCATACCTCCCCGTCGACGCCTCGGGCACCACGACCGGTGGCAGAACGACACGGCCTCCCATGTACGAACATTTACCGAGAGATGCCGACCCCCTAGGCCGTTTTAGTGGCCACGTGCTTCAGGGGCCCACCACGGCCAGGAACATGGGGGCGGAGAGGACCGAGGAGCGGGGCTAGACTCGGTCGCTGATCGTCTCGGGCGCCGCTGCGCTCGAGCACACACCGCAACACCAAGGTGATCGGTCAACAGCGGGTTGCAGAGGAAGCAACCTAGCGCTCGCAATGAATGCCGTCTACCCCTCCCTCCGCCTCCGCCTCAATCCTCACACACCCGTACCCAGTCCACAAGAGAGGGGAGGAGAAGGAGCGGGAGGGGAGGAGGAGAATGGGACCAATAAAAAAGGAGAGGGTGGGCCAGGAGGGAGGGGTAGGTTAGGGAGGCCTCTGATATCGTACCAGTGATGCTGTTCATCGTGTCTGTGGTTGTGATGGCCAATGAATCGCGAACAGAAGCTTGATACATGTTGTCGAAGTGTTGCTCGTCCAATGCGATCGTGGCAATGATTGCGTTGATCTGAAAAACCCATCGGAGTGGCATACTGACGATACAACTGCGGCTGAAACTGATTATTGCGTTGATCTAGACAATCCACTGTTAGGCATGCACAAGGCTACCTGTGGGAGGAAGGCATCGCGGGGTCAGCAACACGAATGGGCTCCATGGCGGCGCGGCCTGCCCTGGCTAGCAGGGCGTGGCTTGCCCTGGCTGGTAAGGCGGCGCGCTCCCAATAACCTCTCCCAATGGCTCGAAGGGCCATGAGCTTGAATCATCAAAATGGCTACGGACTCCTCCTGCTCCTCCTCCTCTTCCTCCTCCTCCTCCCCCTCCTCCTCCTCCTCCTCCTCCCCCTTCCCCTCTCTCCTCCTCTCCCTCCTCCTCCTCCTCCTCCTCCTCCTCCTCCTCCCTTTCCTCTCCCTCCTCCTCTCCCCCCTCCTCCTCCTCCTCCTCCTCCTCCTCCTCCTCCTCGCCTCCTCCTCCTCATCCTCATCCTCATCCTCCTCCTCATCCTCATCCTTACCCTCTCCCTCTTCCCTCCCTCCTCGTCTTCGTGGAAGACCACGACCCCTCGCCCAACCCTCTTTTGCGCGCCGCCAGGCCGTTGCGCCATGTGCAGCGTCCCCGCTAGTCCTGCTCGAATCTGGCATGCGCGTGCCGTGTCCTTGAAGCGGTGTATTCAATAGTCAGGTGTCGCTTGCTTACACCCAGTTGATTCCGTCAATGCTGGTCGTTTCGATGTTCAATGGGGACGTTTAAATCGATGTAGCTCAGCGGTGCTCCTCATCATCCCCCCCTCCTCGTTCACGTCCTCGTCCTCGTCGTTGCCCCTCCTCCTCGTCCTCCCTCTCTCGTCATCGCCTTCCCTCTCTTTGTTTTGCCTCTTCGGAGGTAGTCCTAGTCTTCCTTCCTCCTCCCTCTTCGTTCTTCTCGTCTTCGTCGTCCTTCCTCCTCCTCCGCCCCCTTCCCCATAATGGGAGACAGGATGAGGGGGAAGAGTAAAGCTGCACCTCGCG